TAGAGCCGTTTTCTCTCTCTCTCTCTCTCTCACACACACACACACACACACACACACACACACACGATAGTCTCTTTCCTTTCACAGACATTTCCAGAGTTCAGCACTGTTCCTTTCCTTTCCCTCACCGATTCCTCATCTCTAAGCATCTTTGGCCACGTCCACGTGCACACAGCTTTCCCCACAAGGGCCCCACTGGAGAGCTCCCCAGACTGGCCTGTCCTGGTCGACCTGCCTGCCCTGTCTCAGCCTGTCTCTCCATGTGGCCAGGACAGGTGTGAAGGGCATGGCGCCCTTTTTGAGGCCCACATGTCAGAGGCCTGGTAACTGACCAGTGGCCACAGGTGGGAATCACCAGGCCGTGCAGGTGTCGGCCTCCTTGGCTCCTTTTCAGAAACAGCAGAACCCAGGGAAGAGGTGGTTCCATGTGAAAGTGCAGGCAGCTCTGAGGGGGGACGTTCGTGGCCAAGTGGGTCGGCGGCCCGGGTAGTGAGCAGTGAGTCCCCTGGGCTCCGTCTCCTGCTCCAGGTTGTCCAGAGGCCACAGTCACTCAAAGCAGGAGAGACTCGAGCCAGCCGTCAGGAAGAACTTTCCTTCACCGTTGTCTGTGGCAGCCTTCGTCTGGGAGCGCTGTAGTTCCTTCGGGGGGTGGGCTCCTGAGGAAGGCCCTTCAAGAAGGCTGCGTTCTCCAGGATTTCAGGGAGTCTGGAGGTGAGAGGGCAGTGGAGAGAGGTGTGACTGTGTATCAGGGCCTGCCTGACACCTCTTTGTGCCCTAGTTCTGGATGTCCATTGTGGCCACCACCATGCCCATACCCTGCGGAGGCTTCATGCCCGTCTTTGTGCTAGGTGAGTTCTCTGGGGGACACAGAAGGCTTGGGCCTCAGGGCGTTGTGCTTGGTCTCAGCCCCCACGAGAGGCTGGCTTGTGGGTGGGAGGGAGGTGCCCTGGACACCACGTTACTGTCCACAGGCGCCGCCTTCGGAAGGCTGGTGGGAGAGCTGATGGCCATGCTGTTCCCAGACGGCATCTTATTTGATGACATCATTTACAAGATCCTTCCTGGGGGTTACGCAGTGATTGGTGAGAGCACCCTGCCCGTCACCCAGGACCCCTCTCCCCACACCGGTGAACTCTCCGAACATCACATTCCAGACGCGTGGCCTCAATTCCACGTTGACCCACATGGGTCGCTCTTGTCTGTGACTTAGAACTTAGTGAGCTTCTCGGAGCCTCGTGGGGATCAGACAGCATGAGGGTGAGAGACCCTCGGCTTGTGTCTGGAGGCGTCCTTCGGGAACCCCGCAGGCCCAGCACTACCCTGCAGATAGCCTCCTACTGCTCGGGCTCTAGATGCAGCTGCTGGTGGCGCTGGCCCTCGGATGGCCCTGGAGCGAGCTGGCTGCCTGCAGGGGCCCCATGTCCCTGTGCTGTAATGTGCCCTGAGGCAGCTTAGGGGCTGCCCTGCTGAGGGTCTGTGATCACTCTGCTTCCTGAAGTCCCGTCTCTCCAAGCCACACTCCAAGTGCCCTGAACTGCCGTACCTCGTCCGTCCCTCTCAGCAGCCGGGCAGCCCAAGAACTCTCACTGTCCAGCTCATGGCTCGGTGGAGACCCCACGCCCTAACAGCCCCTCCCTTCAGCCCCCTCATTCCTTCTCTTCCTCATCTTCATCTCTCTCGTGCCCGCCCTCAGTCTACGTGCTTCCTACAGCAGCTCAAGGCCCAAGATGCACTGTGCCTCCAGTCCCCCTCCAAGGCTCGTCTCTGACCATCACACACACACACACACACACACACACACACACACACGACAGGGCTTCCTGGCTCCTCTCCCCACGGGCAGCCTCACCCGCGTGTAAACAGGAAGTACGTCTAGTCCCAGGGGACAGGTGGCATTCTGCTTCAGGGCAGATAGACATGCAGTGCAGGCCCACCTCGTTTCACGGCACGCCGTTTCACTGTGCGATGCCAATGGTACATTTCTTACTAAAGGTTGGTGTCAGTCCTGCACATAGTGGCGTCTTTCCCCCAGCATGTGCCCACTCCGTGCTGCTGTCACACTCTGGTTGTCTCATGGTCTCTCACACGGTTCCCTCCCCTTTTGCACGCTTCAGAGACTGCAGCTGAACAAATGTAGGCATAACCTTTGCCTGCAGTCAGCACCCAGTCTTACTGGCACTGGTCACATTACACTGGGCAGTCTGGGGTCAGCCCATGGGAGCTCCGAGGTCTGCCTGCCCCAATGGCACAGTCCAGCTTCAAAGCTTAGATTCCACATCTCAGACCCACTCACTCCTAAGTCCCTTAAGTAAGCCTTGTATTTCTGAAGGGAGCCTGCACACCTCAGTTCTCTTGCTGCTGTGACAGACACCCCAACTGTGTGGCTTTACCAAGCAGAAGTTGGTTCTCACAGCTGAGGCTGGAAGTCCAAATCCAGGGGCTGGCTCTAGGAAAGGCCCTCTGTCCCTGTCGGAGCCGGAGGAAAGGCCTTGTCTCTCAGCATCTGTGGGCCTGGCGTTCCTTGGGGACATCCACGGGTCGTGTCCTTTGCCAGGTCAAGGAGCTTCCCAGTGCAGAGACCTGAGAACAAAGGAGGTGCTGGGCTCAGGGCTCTTCTGTCCTGGTGACACGGAGGTCCTCCTCTGCTTCCTCCCCCCACTTAACCCTAGTGAGATAAAAGGCTTAGGGACCACACCCCAGGGAAGTGCCCTAATGCTGCATTGCCCCTCTAATCCGCTTAGAGTTGCTCAGTTAATCACATCATACAGATCAGGACGTAACTTCCGCGTCCCTTCATCACACACATGTGCTCTCGGGTGATGCAATGCCCTGCAGGCATTGAATCAGGTTGAGAAACGTCAGAGTCCCAGCCAGGCCAGGCCTTGTTGCCCCAAGCCCATGGCACCGTGTTTTGGGTTTTCACACCAGTTCAGTGTTCACTGTTGGTCCCAAGACCTGAGGCTGAGTTCAAACGCCCGGCTGAGCCAGAACGTCCCGGACTCTGAGACGTGAGGGCCTGAGAGCACAGCATGGTTCATGATATATGAGGATCTGGGCACACACATGCTTGGACTCTCTGACGGGCATGGAAAGAGATGGGCATCAGGGTCACCTCAGTGAGTCGGCACGGGCATGGGCGCGTCCCCGCCGTCACAGCAATGCCCGTGTCTCATTCCAGGGGCAGCGGCTCTCACCGGCGCCGTGTCCCACACGGTCTCCACAGCGGTCATCTGCTTTGAGCTGACTGGCCAGATTGCACACATCCTGCCCATGATGGTGGCTGTGATCCTAGCCAACATGGTGGCGCAGAGCCTGCAGCCATCCCTCTATGACAGCATCATCCAGGTCAAGAAGCTGCCCTACCTGCCAGACCTGGGGTGGAACCAGCTCAGGTCAGCACGGAGCCCGGACGAGCCCAGGGCTGGGGGCTGGAGCCTGGGGTTGGGGGCTGGGTCCCAGGGCTGGGGGTGTCTGGGGTGGAACCAGCTCAGGTCAGCACTGGGCCCGGACGAGCCCAGGGCCGGGGGTGTCTGGGGTGGAACCAGTTCAGGTCAGCACTGGGCCCGGACGAGCCCAGGGCCGGGGGTGTCTGGGGTGGAACCAGCTCAGGTCAGCATGGGGCCTGGACCAGCCCAGGGCCGGGGGCTGGGGCCTCTGGGGTGGGAGGACTGGCCTCACGCTGAGTTGTGTCCCTGTGAGTGGTAACCCTGTGGTGGGCCTCACACAGGGGGTTGTGAGTAGCCTGGCCTGTGGTGGCCGACGTCCACCTTCTTCCTCTGTAGCAAATTTACCATCTTTGTTGAGGACATCATGGTGAGAGATGTCAAGTTCATTTCCGCTTCTTGCACGTACGGGGAGCTGCAAGCCTTGCTCCAGGCCACCACAGTCAAGACCTTACCTCTGGTTGACTCTAAAGGTCAGTGGGAACTGGTCTGGCTCTCCTCAAGGCTGGGCGCTGCCACATGGCCGCCTTCAGATGAAGTCCAGCAGCTAGTGGAGGTCCAGCTGTGCCCCTCACGGGACACTCCCACCCTAGAGTAAGCCAGCTGTGTCACACACAAAGGCCAATGACCCTCTGCAGCTGTAGCCCCTGTGTGGCTCCAGGGGCCAGGACCAGCAGCCAAGGAGCTGACCCTGACGGCGGCCATGTGTGCCCGTGCTCCATGGGCTTCAGGGGCTGGTCTGGGGGAGGCGATTGCCAGGCCTCTGCTGCGTGGCGCTCTGGGGTGCACTTGAGCTGCCATTGTTGACAGCTGGCTGAGTCAACCAGACCACCATGGGGAGAGAAGGTCCAGGAGGGGTGCTGGGTTGGCCTCACCCACCTCCCTCCCAGCACCTTCCCTTCCTCCGCCGTCAGCCCCTCACCCACACTGGACATTTCTGCCCCTAGATGGGGGGCTCAGTCAGAAGCTGACTTCTGACTTCCCTAAGTGCCTTTCCATACACGTTTAGTGGATATCAATTATCCATCGCTGAAAAGTTGCCAGTTCGAAGTCGCCCAGAGGCATGTGGGAAGGGGGCCTGGAAGCCCCCTGGGGCAGTTCTCAGTCATACCCCGTCCCCATGAGTCACAACTGACTTGATGGCGCCCAGCAACAACTGGTGGAAGGGCTGGTAGTTCAAACCCATCTGTCGGGGCAGACCAAGGCCTGGCAGTTTGATTCTTTTTTCCCCTTCTCAACGCTTCTCTTTTATTCATTTTGCACATTTTCTTTTCCTATCAAAGGCATCTATGATTAGGCATTGTACATATGACAACAGTCTGGAGCAAGGGGTGTATTGTGGGGCAGGAGCGGTTTAGGGGAGGGCAGTTGCTGCCTGCACACAGGGGTCTCCGGGGGTGGCCTGGGACCGGGGCCGAGGCGTCCAGCCTGCAGCCTCACGGGCCCTCGGTGTGCAGAGTCCATGATCCTGCTGGGCTCCGTGGAGCGCTCGGAGCTGCAGGCCCTGCTGCAACGGCACCTGAGCGTGGAGCGGAGGCTGCGGAGCGCCCAGGACGCGGCCCGGACGCTGTCAGAGCTGCCCTATGATGGCAAGGCCGCCCTCGGGGGTCGGGAGTCCTTCACGTTCGTGGACGAGGACGAGGACGAGGACCTACCCCGGAGGGTGGAGGTGAGAGGGAGGGCGGGGGGAGGTGGGGAAGGGGGGGAATGGGGGTGAGGGGACCGTGGTCACGGGAGGGTGGGGTGAGCAGTGGCGTTACGATGGGTGATGGGACCGTTGTCTGAGGTCACAGGACTCTGTGTGCTGTCCTGATTGCTGGGCTGGCCAGTGAAAAGTGGACACTAGAAAGTGTGGGCTGGGGCTGGGGCTGCAGCTGAGATCATGGCAATGCCAGGGGCAGGAGGGGTGGGGATGAGGAACGATCAGCTCACTGGTCTCCTGGGACCTGCTGCACTGGTCCCTCCTCTGAAGACCAAGGCCACCTGTTCTCCCTGACAGCCGCTGCCTTCTCTCCCTGCTCCTGTCTTCCCTGTGGTCCCACCAGACCCAGAGGAGCCCAATGGGCCCCTGCCCAGCCTCAAGCAGCAGCCAGAGGCCCCAGAGCCTGCCGGTGAGGACCCCGTCCCCCGAACCCCCCCATCCCACTGGGCCTGATGTGAGGAGGGGTTGTGAGCCTGAGACTGTGGGCTTCTCCGTGTCCCTGTCTGCGGAGGGCAGGGTGGCCGTGGAGAATGAAGAGGTGTCTGCAGGGGGCCCCGGGGTGCAGGTCGGTGGACCACCTGAGCTCAGCCTCAGCTAGATGTGCCGGATGGGATGTCTGAGATGGGATGCCCAGGATGGAGGTGTATGGGATGGGGTGCTACAGGATGGAGGTGCCCCACATGGCGATATTGCTGGTCTTCTTGGTCCCTCCAGAAAGAAGGCCCTCCATCTTCTGGGCCCTGCTCCGCTGCCTGGTGGGCCAGGCTCGCCCCCCCAAGAAGAAGGTCAGCCAGGTGAGGAGAGGGTGTGGGGGAGCCTGTCTTTGAGGAGGGAGGCATCCGGCTTCCTGGGAGCTGGCATCGGGGACTGCTTTCACCAGAAACAAAGGAGGAAGAGAACTTGGTGTGTCTTCCTCCCCAGGACCCTGCGGACCTGGTGGACAATATGTCCCCGGAAGAGGTAGGTCGGGGGTTACAGTCTGGGGTTGGGGTTCTGTCCATGAAGAAGCCGGGGTGAGCCTGGGCAAGGGCTTATGGGGGCAGAGGGCAGCGAGGGCTCCGGGTGTGGTCTCTGGGCTGAGAGCCTGGAGTGGCTGTTGGGACCAGGGGTCAGTATGTGTGGGGGCAGAGGGCAGCCAGATCTGGCCGTGGTCCCCCAGATGAGCATGGGTCCAGAGTTGGGGGACGTGGACAGGCCCCTCCACCTGCAGGGGTGTGGCTGAGACCTGATGTGACCTGGACCTGGGAGAGGCTGTTCCTGGGGGAACAATCTTCACAAGGTCAAATGGCACCAGGCATTGAAGGGCACAGCTCAGACCATCACAGTGGGCAGCATGAGGTGACCACACTGGGTCACCAGGACCTGAGCATGGATGTAGGCGTCAGGAGATGGAGGCCCCAAGCTGTGATACTAGGTCCCCAGGCCATGGACACAGATATCAGACATGAAGCCCCGAGCCAGGGACACTGGATGCCAGGCCACGAAGCCCCAAGCCGTGGACACCACAGCAGTGAAGAGTGAAGCTTGCTGGGTCACCAAAACCTCCACCAGCGAGGAGGCTGTTTACTGAGCTGACAGCACCGTCCCTGCCTCGCCCATCTTTCCTGAAAAGTCAGGACTCTCACACCCACTCCTGGGTCCAGGGGACGCGTTGGACTGGCTCAGTGGGAGCAGAGTTCAGGACGTGTTGGGCGAGGTCTTTCAGACCACTAAGAGGTGGCCATGCACTAGCCAGGGGGCCTGCGGGAAGGCTGTGAGTGACCCAAGTTCCTGTGTGTTACCTGAGTCCAAGAACATGTACATGACACCGTCCCCGTGACCTGTGTGTGACCCCGTGTGTGACACCATCCCAGTGACCCCGTGTGTGGCACCGTCCCCATGACCCCGTGTGTGACCCCATGTGTGACACCATCCCGGTGACCCCGTGTGTGACCCCATGGGTGGCACTGTCCCCGTGACCCTTTGTGTGACCCCGTGTGTGACCCCATGTGCGGTACTGTCCCTGTGACGCCGTGTGTGGCACCATCCCCGTGACCTGTGTGTGACCCCGTGTGTGACACCATCCCAGTGACCCCCGTGTGTGGCACCGTCCCCATGACCCCGTGTGTGACACCATCCCAGTGACCCCCGTGTGTGGCACCGTCCCCGTGACCCCGTGTGTGGCACCATCCCCATGACCCCGTGTGTGACACTGTCCCTGTGACCCCATGTGTGACACCATCCCGGTGACCCCGTGTGTGACCCCATGGGTGGCACTGTCCCCGTGACCCT